TGTTCTCGGAATTTCCAATAGGATGCCCTAGCAATAATATAGTTTTAGCATCGATATGTTCTATTTGCTTGGAAGTTGTTCGCCCTCCATGGTGGAGAGCTTGTAAGACCCTTTGCGGACTACTCCGAGGATGCGATACGGTCCTTCCCAAGATTGGCCCAGCTTTCCTTCATTAGGGTTTCGGGTGTTAAGGGTGACTTTCCTTAGAACAAAGTCCCCAATTCCAAAATATCGGAGGTTTGTTCTCATGTTATAATATCTTTCGATCCTATGCTATTGGGCAGCCATTCGAACCAGCGAGGCCTCCCGCATTTCATCCAGCAATTCAAGGGCCGTTGCCATGGCCTCGTCGTTCGAGCTCTCTGTGGCATGTTGGACTCTAGCGCTCGGCTTCCCGACTTCCACTGGTATCAAAGACTCGAGACAGTATACTATAGAGAAAGGTGTTTCCCCTGTGCTCGATTTTGAAGTTGTTCGGTATGCCCACAACACTTCTGGCAATATTTCTGTCCACTTTCCTTTGGCGCTTTTCGGATTCTTTTTTAAGTTTTGGATGATGGTTGTGATTGTGGACTCGGCCTGGCCGTTCGCACACGGGTGGTAGGGCGTCGATAAGATCCTCTTGATTTTGTTATCCTCGAGGAATTTTGTTACCTTGCTCCCGATGAATTGTTTCCCGTTATCATATGCTATCTCGGAAGGAATCCTGAATCGTCACATGATGTGGTCCTAGATGAAGCTGATGACTTCTTTTTCTCTTATTTTTTCGAAGGCCTGCGCTTCCACCCATTTGGAGAAATAGTAAGTCATTAATAAAATAAATCTTGCCTTTCCTGGTGTCGTTGGCAGGGGTCTGATGATGTCCATCCCCCACTTAATTAACGGCCATGGCGATAAGACCGAGTGCAGTCATTCACCGGGTTGTGAATCATCGAGGAAAATCTCTGGCATTTGTCACACTTCTGGATGATTTCTTTGGAGTCTTTTTCCATGTTGTCCCAATAGTAGCCTGCTCTGATTACCTTTTGGACCAAGGCATTGACACCAGAATGATTTACGCAGATGCTCTTGTGATTTTCTCGGAGTACATAATCTGTCTCCCCCGGCCCTAGACATACGGCTAGGGGGCCATCAAAAGTTCTTCTGTATAAACTCTTGTTTTCATCGAGGGAGAATTGGCTGCTTTGGTTCGCATGACCCTCGATTCCTTTGGGTCGTTGGCAATTTTCCGTCTTTCAAATAATCAATATATTTATTTCTCCAGTCCAATGTTAGACTAGTGGAATTAATCTCCGCATGACATTGCTCAATTCCTGATTTAAATAGCTGGACGACAGCCCTAGGGAGTAGGGCATCTTCCTCAATAGAAGATCCCAGGTTTGTGAGGGCATCATCCTCGCTATTCTACTCTTGAGGTACATGGACCAAAGTACATTCGTTGATGCGACGTAATGCGACTTGGAGTTTGTCCAAATATCTCTACATCCTGTCCTCTCAGACCTCGTAACTTCCATTTACCTGGCTCACTACTAGGAGTGAATCGCATTTTTCTTCGATGGTCTTGGCTCCCAAGCTTTTGGCCAGTTCTAAACCTGCAATCATAGCCTCGTACTCGAACTCATTGTTAGTGAATTTTGCAGTTTTTATGGATTGCTTGATCACGCCGCTCGTAAGTGGATTTTGGACTATACCTAGTCTGAAACCTCTCACGTTTGTGGCACCGTTAGTGAATAGGGTCCATACCCCAGAAGACGTGTCTGATTTTAGTAAAAGTTCTTTTTCTAACTCTGGCACGAGGGAGGGCGAGAAATCGGCCATGATGTCTGCCAGAATCTAGGATTGATGGTTGTTCGAGGTTGATACTCGATATCATTTGGCCAATAGACTCGATATTTCGAGTTTGTGCAATATGCTCCAGAGAGGGTATGTCGTTAGAACACAAATGTGATGGCATTGAAATTAAGGTTTCAATTTTTGCGACGCACTTATTAATGGGAGAGCCAATTTTTCGAGGTGAGGATACCTAGTTTTAGCATCCCCTAGGGTCCTGCTTACGTAATAAATAGGGAATTGCGTATCTTGGTCTTCTCGAACTAGCACGTCACTTACCGCTATCTCGGATACGACCAGGTACATATATAGTGTATCATCCACCTTTGGTTTGTGGAGTAAAGGTGGGCTAGTCAAATATCGCTTTAGCTCTTCTAATGCGCATTGACACAATGGAGTCCATTTAAAGTTGTTCTTTCTTTTGAGTAATGAGAAGCAATGATGGCTCCTATCGGATAACCTAGATATGAATCTGCCTAGAGATGCTATCTGACCTGTTAGCCGTTGCACGACCTATAAATTGTTTACCACCATGATTTCTTCGATGGCCTTGCTTTTGTCGGGGTTAATCTCGATCCCCTTATTCGATAACATGAAGCCTAGGAATTTGTCTGAACCTACTCCGAAGGCACATTTCTCAGGGTTGAGCTTTATGTTGGAACTTCTGAGAATGTTGAATGTTTCCTGCAAATGAGTTAAATGGTCCTCTGTGCAGAGACTTAACTAGCATGTCGTCAAAAAAAAATTCCATGGATTTGCCTATTTGACTTTCAAACATTTTATTAACTAGACGCTGGTAGGTAGCCCCTACGATTTTTAGTCCGAAAGGTATTACATTGTAATAGTAAGTACCATACTTTGTGATGAACGAGGTCTTATCCATGTCTTCGGGGTTCATCTGAATTTGATTGTACCCCGAATAGGCATCGAGAAAGGTGAGGGTCTCGTGGCCGACCATAGAATTGATAAGACGATCAATGTTAGGTAATGGGAACGAATCTTTGGGACATGCCTTATTTAAGTCTTTATAGTCTATGCACATTCTTAACTTATTTTCCTTTTTGGGTACCACTACCATGTTGGCCAAATATTCGGGGTACTTTAATTCCCTAATGGACCCTATTTTAAGGAGTTTCGTTACCTCATCCTTGACGAATGTGTATTTTACCTCGGACTGGGGTCTTCTTTTTTGTTTCACCGGTTTAAACCTGGGGTCAACCACAGTCGAAGGTAGGTTATTTTCGGCGGGATGTCTATCATGTCTAAGTGGTACCATGCAAAACAGACGATATTATCAATAAGAAATTTTTCCTGAGTTCGGGGGTTAATCCCGTTCCTAGGTATACCTTACGATCGGGGAGGTGCTCCATCAAAACAACTTGCTCCAGATCTTCGATTGTCAATTTCGTTGCATCCGACTCTTTAGGGGCAACAAAAGTTCGAGGAGCGAGGAAATCTTCTTCGTCATCCCGGGGGATCTGTATGTTCCAAGACAAGTCCGAGGTCAGGAGTACGGGGTTCGACTCTGCCTGTTAAATCGCGAATATTTCTTTCGCTGCACGCTGTTCTCCGTATATGGTCGTTATGCCATCCTTGGCTAGGAATTTAATCATCTGGTGCAGGGTTGATGGTACTGCCATTATGTTGTGTATCCATGGTCTGCCAAGCAATGCATTATATCTTATGTCTCCATTGATGACTTGAAACTTTGTGTTCCGAACCATGTCGGACATGTCGACTGGGAGGGTGATTTCTCTTTTGGTTACTTCGCTGGTCATGTTGAAGCCATGGAGGACCTGGGAGGCCGTTATGATCTGGTTGAGTAACCCGAGCTGCTCTACTACTGCTGAGTTGATCACATTGTCCGAGCTGACTGGATCTACGAGCGCACGTTTAACTCGTATGATGTTTAAAAGGAATGAAATTACCAGCACGTCGTTGTGTGGTTCTATCAAAGTCTCGAGATCTTTTTCGCTGAATGCGAGGGTGTTTTCGGCCATGCGGTCTCGGATTGGCCCTTCTGTTGCGGCAGATATTTTTGTCCTCTTGATCATGGGCCCTTGGGGGATGTCAGCTCCTCCACTAATCATATGAACGTCGTGCTGAGGGACCTCTTTTTGTGCCCAGGCTAGAACAGCCACAGCACTTTCTTCCTAGTCTTCTAGGTAGTTGTTTTCACCTCTGTCTGATAAGTTAGGCATTTAAACCTGAAATTTGTAGATCTTGGATAAGAAAAAGCGTGAAAGATAACTTGCGTTATGTAATAAAACCTGCAAGAAAATAATCACTATTATTTTTAGCCCCACGGTAGGCGCCAAACTGTTTACTGTGAAATTTGGTAATAACGATTAAATTTGTTGATGGGACTCTAAAAATATGAGATCTATTTTTATGCTAGTTTGTTAAGCAATCGATGCTAAATGTTCGAAATCTAAAGACAAAATGGAGTATCAAATCGATAGTCTAGCTACTTGGCGCCTCGGGCCTGTCGATTTGGGGCTTCGAGACTGATTCTAGGGCCCGGGATCAAGCTATCGTGGGCGATCAGAGTAGGGCCAACAGGTACGAAATAATTAACGAATGCTCTTTATGGCCAACGATAGGAAATAAATGCTGAACAAATATGAAGACAATAAATAAAAATGATAATATCAAGAGAGTGTATGAGAGAACAAAGAGAATGTTCTTCTATGTTTCTTATGGAGCGTACAGAGAAACAGAGTTTACAAAAATGGAAGGAATTCCCCTTATATAGGAGGGGAATTATAACATAGTACAAAATACATTAACTACTCGAAAACGGGGATGTGACAGCTAGATATGATGTCCTGACGTCCAACATTGGGTTTAGAATAGCCCGCTAGGCTCTGTCAGTCCTAGCCAAGTGTCTTGGGAACTTCCCTCTTTTCTAATGTAGCCGTTGATCTGCACTTCCCCGAGTTCGAGCCCCGATGACCCTTGACAGTGAGCCTTGAAGCAAGTCGATTGGGGACCCCCGGTTTTACCGTACACACAAATCTTTGGTGTGATAGCAGTAATCCGGTAACAAAATCCATGTCGATCGTCGCCCATTTCCAGGTTGAAATTTCCATATTCTGAAGCAATCCTGCCGATTTCTGGTGTTCAACCTTAACTTGTTGACAATTTGGTCATCGGGTGATGTATTCGGGAATTTTCCACTTCATTTCATTCCACCAATATAGCTGTCGAAGATCATGGTACATCTTTGTTGATCCCGGATGAATAGATTATCGAGATCTATGAATCTCATTCATGATCTGCTCTCGGAGTCCCCCGACATCGGGTACACACAATCGGTCCTTATATATAAGAGCACCATCCTCGAATAGCTCGAACACTTGCTTCTTTTGAGAGGTAATGTTTTCTCTTATTTTCACCAAAGCTAGATCATCAAGTTGTTGTTCTTTTACTTTAGCCACTAGCAAGGATTCAGAAGCATTTTGAACTATGGCTCCTCCGATATCTGTCTCTCGCAATCATATTCTTAAATTATCCAATAGGTACTAGTTTTTAGTCTTTTCCAACTTATAATCTTCCATATGTCGTAGGTTTCCCATGGTTTTCCGAATTAGTGCGTCAGCCACAATGTTTCCCGTGGTGGTACAAATATCAACATCATAATCTTTTAACAATTAAATCCAACTTAGCTGCCTTAGATTTAATTCACTTTGCTTGAATATGCACTACAAGCTCTTGTGATCAGTGAATATGTCGACATGAACTCCATACAAATAGTGACACCATGTTTTCAAGGCAAATATAATAGTTGTTAGCTCCAAGCCGTGAGTTGGGTAATTCTGTTTATGTTTCCTTAGTTGTCTCGAAGCATAATTAACAACTCCCCTGTGTTGCATTAAAACACTTCCCAATCCAACTCTAGAAGTATCACAATATATAACGTACTCTTCGGGTCCTTCAGGAAGGGTTAGAACTGACGCCGAGGTTAATAAGATCCTTCAACTTGTCTTTTAGTTCTTTCAACTCGGAAGGAGCCATCCTATACGGAGGAACATATATCAATTGCGTATAAGGAGGCACATCGATGGCAAAATCGATCTCTCTCTCGGGTGGAATACTCGAGAGCTCATCAAGGAACACATCGGGGAATTCACTAACAATCGGAATCAATTGAAGGATTGGAGGCTTTGCCTCCGTGTAGCACCCTGGAAAATTTTGAAGTACTTAAGCGCTATTAAGAAAGTTGATATGCGCTAGTTATATTGCTTTGTATGTTCACGAGGGCTATAAATGTGATGGATATCAATTGGATATGATAATAAGTGTACGAGACATATTATAAGTGATTTGGGGTCTAGGAAGAGGCCTAAGTCTAAGCCAAGTTGGAAAATGACATGATAGACCAATGTTAAAAATGAGTACGCACAAGATAAAACTTTGGACGAGTATATCTACCGCTATATATGGAGTTATGTGATGCACAACCTATAAGATGGAATATCTTTGAGTCTAGTTTCTATCACTTCAAACTGTTCGTCATTTAGACACTCCTACAAGAAGTTATTACCAAATTAACAAAAGCTAGCAGAATTTTACACTATCGCGCCGCACCATGCGGCACGCCTAAGGGGATTTCCAAAATACTTCAAAATTTTGCTTCTAGGCACATTTTGCACTACCGCACTGCCTCACGCGGTTCCCCATGGGTTGTGGCTGTGCAAAGTTGGGTTTTTTCTATAAACCGATCCCCATATTGTTAAATAGAAGCAATGGACCATTTCTTGAGCTAAAACCTAATATTTTTAGAGTGAGAGAGTTCCCTAGAATGGAAAAGTGTTCGCCAACAATTATTCTTCAACTCTTGCTCAAATATTGGAAGATTAACAAGGAAAAACTCAGAAGGTCTTCATCCTAAGGGTATGATTCTACACCCTAACCCTGAATTTCAAATTTTATCTAGAATTGGGCAACTAGTAAGATAGTTCATGGGGATGGAAGTTGCTTATCTTGCATGCATGTGTGATAAAAGAGTGTAGGAAGATTGTGGGCTAAAAATGATAAATATGGGTTATGGGATGATGAAATCTTTCATAAAAAGGGACCTTGAAACCTTAGTACATACGTAGTGTTTGATAAAATGCTCAAGTGAGCTAGAATCATGATCGTTTTCCAAAGTTTTGATTCAATTCTGTTATATTGCTAAAATAGATTGAAGTTGCTAATATTCCGGAACATTTTAGAGTTTTAAGAAACTCAATTAAGGTATGTATGGCTAAACTCTTCTCTTAGAATTGAACCCCACAATATCCATGAAAGTCCCGAGTTGGTCACTGCGAGTTGAACATTATGAATAACCTTGTGCCAAAAGATATCCATGTTCAATATGCAATATAAAGGCTCTTGTTATGTTATATTCTTATTTAAAGAATGGGTTCAAAGTATGAGTTGCATGTTTAAATTCCTTGACAAGAAGTTGTATTTCAAACGAAAGCTAATGACAATTTTGTAAGAAATCTCAATGTACCCAAAACTCGCAGTTGCTTACATTTATGCTTAAATGTTATGAAAAGAAATGCCTTGTTGTTGGAAATATATGATGATTGTTGGAAGCAAATTATGAAATATGAGATACAAAGCGAGGAATACTAAATGTGAAATATGAAATGTGAAATATGGAATACGGCCAATGTGCCAAGTGATATAATATAACTGTTGTTGATGTCTCTTTTGATATGGCGTAGCCGATCGGGTCGTGATCGGAGGCCATGTCGTACACATGGAGGTGACTTTATTGGAAATTTTAATTGAAATTGCAACTATGGTTGATGTCTCTTATGAGATGGCCTAGCCGATCGGCTCGTGATCGTACGCCATGCCGCACACAAGGTGGTGATTGTGCTGGAAATTGAAACTTGAAATTGAAATTGAAATTGAAATTGTGATTGTGGTGGATGTCTCAAATGAGGTAACCTAGTTGTATACGGTAAAATCGGAGGGTCTAATTCCTCATCATCGAGGCGCCTTAGATGAGCATCTTGAAGGCTCGAGGCTGCGAGGCTATGGTCGAGTTTCCTCCCTCGAGGTTCATCGACGCTCGACCTAAGGACAATGTTGACCACGGTTGTGACAGAAATGAGGAGTTCCCAAGTTACACGGCTAGGACTGACAGAGCCTAGTGGTACCTTAGTCGTGAATCAGGGTGTCATATAGCTGTCCCATCCCTTTATCTTTGTAATTAATACATTTTGTACTACGCTGGGATTCCCCTCATATATAAAGGGGATCCTTATCATTTTAAAGGCTCTGCCGCTTCAGGTGCTCCACACGAAATATACAAGAACATTGTCTTCGCTTTCCAACATATTCTTTTGATATTATTGCTTCTTTTTATTATCTTCGCATTTGTTCTTCATTTATTTCTTATCATTGGCGATAAAGAGACCCCTTTAATTTTATTATAACTGTTAGCCATACTTCGACTGTTACACCCCATGTTTCCGTATGTAAGAGTACGTCATAAGTCAATAAATGTAAGTTCATAAATGGAATCATCTTTGAAAAGTTTACAAAGTTAGTTCATCATAATAACGTGGAGGTTACAAATATTTAAGATCATTAATACCAAGTAGCAAGAGGGTTTGAAGGCCAAGAAGCTAAATTAATTGAAGAAAATAAGGTTCATCTAAAGTCGACAAGTTGGATTATTTTACCATGTACTTTTTGGGTGAGACTAGGGTGATTAAAATTAAAAGGAGATTATATTATGATTTTTTTAGTCATATGATAGTTGGTGTTATGTTTTGAAGTCAAGCGAGTTGTGGAACAAAAGCTGGAAAAGGTCATCACAAGTTCCATTCATAAATGTGCTGAAAATTAGGACAAATGTAACTGAGATTTTCTCCTAATATACTTAGAATTAGGGGATGATCTACCTACCAAATTAAAGGTCTATGAGTTTAGTTTCCAACGCAATAATCCGTTTGTTAATATGATCTCAGAGTATAGATATATTCATATTTTTCGAGCCTATGCAGAATGGTAAGGTAACAAGTAGGTGCATCACCTACTTGGCAAAATGAGAGGCCAAAATTAAAAACCCCAAAGTCGTCCA